TTCCAGAAATGTAGCAATCAGTATAAATTGTATGGAACTGTAATCACATACACAAAACTTAAAAAAAAGATGTAATTCAGGTCAAGGAGAGCCAGGAGACCAGATTGACACTGTGTCCAAAATTATTTCGAAGTATGCGGTACTCACACTGTCCTTCTCGATTATTGTTTACTATTGTTGCACCGTCGCCGCGTTTCCGCGATTTACGAGAAATAGATAAGTACACGGTTTGTCTCAGAACTCGCTTTATTAAAGAATGTAAGAGTTTCGGATAAAAATACAGATACATCCGGAGCTCCTTTCCGCACGTCCGTTTCGCTCCGGCCTCTGTTTAAATCTGCTGCTTGAACTTTGCTATTTAACAAACCCGTTTTCTTGTCGAATAAATGCTGCGCAACTAAGCGATCAAACATCAAAGCAATTTTTGTTTTTACCGAGTATCGACGCGACACGCGTTTCGCAACAATATTATAGTTTCTACTTCTTATATATCAGTATTACTTAGCTATAATGATCAAAGACAAATTTAATAATTAATATTTTAATGCGCTTGCACTTTAACATTTATTATTGAAAATAAAGAAATTACATAGAAGAAAGTTACACATTTTTTTTAGGCACTCGTCAATACTTTTTGACTTCTTTAGTCGAATAAGTAGATTTTTATTATCATAATAAAAAAGCATACTTTATATAAAAATAATCTATAAAACTGTAGACGGAATCAGTGAATTTGTAAGACATAAATAAATAAATATAAGAAATTATTTTGATTATTTCTAGTTTCGGATAAACATGTGCTACTATCAATCTGTTATCATGGATCTGTCTATTTATGTCCCATGGTAGTATAATGCCTTCGCCAGTTAGGTTAGATTAGGTTAAGATCTCCTGTAACAATAGCATAGTTTGTCAGTTTAAAATTGCTTAGTATTAAAATAGTTTTTACATATATATTTTTACATGATAATTTTTACATATCTTACTTGTAATAGTTTTAATATATACAATAACGTTTATGGAAATAGTTCGGAGAAGGATACTTTAGTGAAGAATTGATTGACTATGTCTAGTATCCATGGCTCCCATATGTTGGACAACGTTGGCAACATTCCTCGATATAACGCCGGCCAATATTCATTTAGGAAATCATTGACAACAGTGTCTAAAAGTCATATTTTTTATGTAAAGTGTTTTTAACTATTATAACATAATGTTTTGACTAGTATGATCATTTTAAAAACTTAAAATCTAGAATTCTATTTATACAAGATACTTTTTCTTACTTATTTCTGTGACGTTAAATATGTCGTCGAACACTATTTTTAACAATTTAAGAGATGGATACATTCTAAATCTTTCAACAGTCCACGTGTCGTTTGAAACATGACCCATAAGATCATACGTGCCTCTGACATCAAGTGCGGTTGCGTTAAACTTTCCTTATTGTTTAAAAAAAATTTGATAATTAAAATAAGTCTTGTATTTTGAGAGAAACAGACCAAAATGCGATATATTTTATGTGTTACTTTATGCGTATACACTTTGCGTAGAATTTATTGTACCTTTGCCTTTTAGTGTGAAAGGTCCTATTTTGGCATCCAAATTAACATAACCATCCAGAAAAAGTTTCGGTATATTATAATCAACTTCCACACGGAATACGTCATCGATCAAGTGCGCTCTTGCATTGATTAATCGATTATATTTCAAACCTATTATGGTTGTATTTTGTACGCCGAGTTCTCCAATTAACGTGCCGTTATCAAATGTACCTTTGGCGTGTTCGAGGAATAATGGATCCAAAGGTGGAAAGTCAAATTCTGGCAATCCTATCAAGACAAAACTTGCAATAAAATAAAGTCGCTATTACGATAGATTAGATCTTCTTAGAAATTGATTAAATTGTCTAAACGTATTGTTAAGATAAATATTTTACAACAAGTNAACATATGTGATAGTAAACTATTTTACTCATCCGACACAAATAGTTATGTAATTAAGTAAAAACTATACCTGGTACAAATCGTGGCCATGCTTTTTGTACTGCGTGCAACAGACATGTAGAATAGTCAGACNAATCGCGCTTGCAAGTAGTTACAGCTGAATAACAATGAAATAAAACAGAGCATTAAAGTGGGTACATATAAAGTTGTATTTTGTATAATGTAGAGCAAAACACACATCATATATAGCAAGTACATATGTATTATCGTATAGTATTATGTATATAGTGCTTACNAAAGCTTATTTTTTTCATCTTTGTAGTATACGTTATAATATACACATTGTAAGTAATGTTAAAAATTGCAAAAGTATCACTTACGAAGCACGAGTTTGTTGTCAGCTAATCCAAATGCGGCAACACAAATCACACCGACTATTATAGAATAGAACATCATATTATATTGTTGTTGATAGGTTTTTAAAACATCCGTAACACTTCTCTAAAAAAAAAAGAAGAGAACATTGTTATTTATATAATATTTATATACTCACACATAATTTACAAGANAATTCATACATGAATATTTGTTAACTGTCAAGCGTTATTAAAGATAAATAATTTTACCNGTTAAATTTTGTGGTTAGGTTTAAATAAGGAGTCTTAATTCTTTGTTAATTNGTTAANTATCACACCGGTAGAAGATGGCGTTATTCACAGAGTATTATATTCAGATATTGCGAGAGAAACACCAAGTGTTGTGGTAACCGAATTGAGGAAGCGATCGAAATTTCAATTTAAATTATCATGTATAAAAAATGTACACTCCTAAAAATATAAATATGTATTTATATATTTTTTTCCGCATAAACATTCAGCATATCGGCTCTTATTACTGGTTAACTTTCGTAGTTAGGTTTAAAGTATATGAGTCTTAGCTCATCTCTCAAAGCAATCTGTACATATATCTACTTNACCTGTGACATTTTAAAAGAGAACTTATCTACTTTTTTGTGACATTTTAAGAGAAAAACTCCATAAATTAACATTAAAGGTATATATACACAAAAAGTTAATACATATAAAAATATACAAATGTATCTTTTTGCAAACATACTACAGTATAAATAATCTAGCGAAACGTTTCAAGCTCTTAGTAGAGTCTTTATCAGTCGCAAATTACAAATTATATAATTAAGATTTAGTAGTTAAGTAATATAATTAAAATTCACCGAGCCTACATTTTATAAACTTTAAAAGTACAATCGGCATTTAAAAAAAATGTGGTTTGATTAGAAAACGTAAGATGAACGGTATCGTAATAATTTGAACTGAATTCGATTCAGAAATTCTTATTGGATGCTTGTTTTGCATCACATATGTATCTATAAATTAACCAAATAGGAAAGTAAAGTAGATACTTTGTACACTTGTGATGCAAACCGAGCGTTCTATATAAAGTTTTGAATTGACTTTAGTTCGAATAATTATATATATAATTCATATTACATTATATATATAAGAATTTACACGGTTGAAAATATATTTTGCGCATCTAGGACATGATTCACATTGACAAACTCTTTGCTAGATACAGTTCGATACTACATAAACTTAAAGGTTTTAATTTGTTATGTTTAATTATTATAAATGAATGTCATATATTGTTTGAGTATCTATAATAGTTAATTTGAAGATCTTGAAATAATTTAGAAAATTATGTAGAAAATTGAATTTGCAATGTAATTNTATATGATGTAATCTTTAAATGTTAGTTTTAAATGTTATTTTCAGTTATTTTCAGAAATGTAGCAATTAGTATAAATTGTATGGAACTGTAATCACATACACAAAACTTAAAAAAAAGATGTACTTCAGGTCAAAGAAAGCCAGGAGACCAGATTGACACTGTGTTCAAAAATATTTCGAAATATGTGGTACTCACACTGTTCTTCTCTTATTTTTTAATATTGTTGCACCGTCGCCGTGTTTCCGCGATTTACGAAAAATAGATAAGTACACGGTTCGTCTCAGAACTCGCTTTACTAAAGAATGTAAGAGTTTCGGATAAAAATACAGATACATCCGGAGCTCCTTTCCGCACGTCCGTTTCGCTTCGGCCTCTGTTTAGATCTGCTGCTTAAACGTTGCTATTAAACAAACCCGTTTTTTTGTCGACTAAACGCCGCGCAACCGAACGGTCGAACGTCGAAGCACTTTTCCCTTCCAACGAGTGTCGACGCGACACGCATCTCGCAACGATATTGTAGTTTATAATTGTTATATCAGTATTACGTAGCTCTAATGATGAGAAAGTTAATACTTAACATTTTAATATTCTTTTACTTTAAAATTTACTGTTAAAAATAAAGAAATTACATAATTAAGAGGAATTTACACATCTTTTTTTTTATGCACACGTCTAAATGTTTTTACTTATTTAGTCGAATAAGTAGATTTTTATTATCATAGTAAAAAGGCATTACTTTATATAAAAATAATCTATAAAACTGTAGGCGGAATCAGTGGATTTGTAAGAAATAAATAAATAAATATAAGCAATATTTAAAATAAAATTGTGAAATATGAGGCGATATATTTAAGTTAATTGATTATTATTACTACAAGCAAAATCGGGTGTCTAGCGCTGACTCACTTCTGTGGCAAATCGCTTCGTCGAAGAAACTTTCGACTCATCTCTTCGAAAATCTCTTCTCTTCTCAATTTATTAAACCGTTGATCGCACAAGATGAAAATGAAATGTATAGGGAAGTTTTGAACGCTGCTTACAAGTTAACATACATATAATATTTATCGCTTGTCGAAATGACCGCTGTCTTGAGAACCAAAGAAAATCATTTATAGAGAAACATTTATATTAAAATATCAAGTTAAAAGTCGTGCGCAAGTCTTGTTTTTATATTCAGTAATTTATTGTACTCAGATCTTTGTTGTCATACAAATCATTAAGATAAATGTTTAATTTGTTCACTTCTAATTTCGGATAAACATGTTCTACAATCAATCTGTCATCATGGACCTGTCCATTTATATCGCATGTTAGTTTAATGTCTTTCCCAGGTAGGTTAAAATCTCCTGTAGCATAAATTATAACAGTGGCATAGTTTGACAGTTTAATCAAATTCCGGAAGTTCTTTAAATAGTATTATTAACAATATTTTTGTGTGTTAGTATTAAAGTGACAAAAGTAATCGTATCATAGCACGCCATTAGTAAATCGCGCCCACGCTTATAACAGTGGTATAGTTTGACAGTTTAATCAAATTCCGGAAGTTCTTTAAATAGTATTATTAACAATATTTTTGTGTGTTAGTATTAAAGTGACAAAAGTAATCGTATCATAGCACGCCATTAGTATAAATCGCGCCCACGCTTTCTGTATTGCACGCTTTAGGCAAGTTGAATAGTCAGGCGAATCTCGCTTGCAGTTAGTTACAGCTAAAAAAAATTAAACAGTATTAACATAAAATAATATTAGTAAAGATAAATAAATAAATAAATAAATAACTTAATAAATAAATAGAAAGATAGATAGATAGATAGATAGATAGATAGATAGAACAAAAAAAGAGAGTTATTTGCTAAAACGCAATAAGATTCCACAAAGTATAGGTATGTATATACTCGTACATATATACTTGTACATTTTCGCATATATATATATTATTTTCTCTTTTTCTTTCTCTCTCTCTTTTTTGCTTTATTTTTGACAGATACTGATTAGATGGTATTAAAATGTTAGACATGCATTATACAAGTTGTTTTAGACTAGAAATAACTTAAAAACAAATAATATACGAATAATATAAAACCGAATACTTATATTGGTTAAATTTTATTAAAATTGCTTACGTGTTGTACTTTCATAAAGTAGTAAAATTTTATTTACTTGGTCACTGTATCATTTTAATCAATATTATATTATTCAATATTTATATTTGAACAAATTCACAAAGCAGTTTTTTATGAATTTTTTGAAGGAAAACTTACGTTACGTTTTTTGTCGCGTCTGCTTCTGTTGTGCATAAACACTGTCTCCCAAAAAAGAAATACTTCAACGCTGAATGCATTTAATACGTGAGGAAACATTTTGATCATTGGAGACTATTTATTACTCATTCGATCACTGCTAAAAATAGATTTTATATGTTGCAAACAAACATATTATAATTAGTAATGAATAATTCATTTCATTAATCTTAAACACGGTGAAAGGAGTGAGAATTTGCAGAATATGTGGTCAAGAAGTGGAAAGATGGAAGCATCTATTTTTATTTGTTTCTGAAATCACGGGCAATTTAACGAGATTTTTAAAGAAAATTAATTTTAAATGCTTTTTTAGATCTTCGAAACACTTTGAAAAGATTCATCAAAGCACACAAGGATAAATTAGAACATGGCTCGAACAACAATGTAATTTATAAAATCAATTGTTCTATTTGTGACGCTTCTTATGTGGGCCAAACAGAAAGACAATTACGGACGAGATTAACAGAACGTAATTTCTATCAGAATTACGAACGATAGTCTGTTGTTAATCGACACCGTAGCGATGTAGGCCATAATTTCCAATGGGATAACGTTGAGATTCTAGACACAGAACAATTTTACCGCAAAATACTAATCTCAGAAATATTGCACGTAAAAACGCATATAAACGCATATAAACGCATATTATTATTGACTAATTTTTACAATATTTATTTATTTATTTATTTGATTGTTTGTTATAGTCTTCCGATACTTAGACATCATACCGTAATGTTTAGTATGTCTATTTTATCTGTTGTTTTAGCTCGTTGTGGTAGCTGGCGCGCATTAAGCGGTCTTTGTGATAACTTGTCGAGTTATGTGTCATATACAGGATGTCCCATAATAGCCGTCTCACCGCTTGTAGGCAAAAAGAAAAAGTTATTCTAAGACGAAAAATCCTATATTACTTTGGAAGATTCGTAATAATTAACGAGATATGAATTAATAAAGATCCGCTAATCAGCGTAATGCCGGGAATAGACTATGCGCGCATTCGCGATTCGTGATTCGCGATTCGTAGCGATGCGCTACGTAGCTACGTAGTCACGCGAATACACGCAAAAAGTGTGTTTGTATAATCGCGAATCGCGAATCGCGAATCACGAATCGCGAATGCGCGCATAGTCTATTCCCGGCATAAGGATAGCCCAGTCTGTCGCGCCGTAGCGACGGAATACAATTATAGCGCGCTGCTCGAACGCAGCCTATATGCGCTCTATGTATGCGCATGTTATTTTATTAGTTACTCCCATTCCGTCACTGCGGCCCGACAGACTAGGCTGTCCTTATGCTGGATGCACGCTGATTAGCGGATCTTTATTAATTAATATTTCGTTAATTATTGCGAATCTTCCAAAGTGATATAGGACTTTTCGTCTTAGAATAACCCTTTTTACCTGCCTACAAGCGGTGAGACGGCAATTACGGGACGCCCTGTATAGTAGTAAAACATTTTTTATTATATGACTTATTAATTTTTAGAGAGTTTTGGACACGATTGTTCCTTACATAATATATACAATCAATGAGCCAAAGATGAAGATTTACTGTTGATTCAATCACTACTCTATTTTAAAGATTCGAACGCGATCACGTGTTGATCAGTCGACAGCTAAAACTTGATTGCAAAACAAACTATATGTATATTATTTACTACAACTGACATTTTAAATGTGACATTTTAAAAGAAAACGTATCTACTTCATCTGTGACATTTTAAAAGAGAAATCTCCACAAACTAACATTAAATATCTTTTTTCCGCACGTCCGTTTCGCTCCGGACACTGTTTAGATCTGCTGCTTGAACTTTGCTCCTACAAAACGATATTTTATAAAAATAATTTTGAAAAAGAAACTTTTAAAAATATGCGGTTGTTGTAGTCAGTGCACCACTGGTCAATCTATTTATTTGTCATTTGTAAAATAAATCGATACAATGTTGTCCAGTACTCGTTCACGAAATGCACAGCAAAATCATCTAGAGAAAACAATTTATATCAAAATATCAAGTTAAAAGTCGTGCGCAAGTCTTGTTTTTATATCCAGTAATTTATTGTACTTACTTAGCTTTTTGCTATCAAACAATTTATTAAAATAAATGTTTACTTTGCTTACTTCTAGTTTCGGATAACCATGTTCTACAATCAATCTGTTATCACGGACCTGTCTATTTATGTCCCATGTTAGTATAATACCTACCCCATTTAGATTAGGTTAGGTTAAGATCTCCTGTAACAATAGCATAGTTTGACAGTTTAAAGTTGCTTAGTATTAAAATAGGTTTTACATATATATTTTTACATGATATTTTTTCCATATCTTACTTGTAATAGTTTTAATATATACAATAACGTTTATGGAAATAGTTCGAAGAAGGATACTTTAGTGAAGAATCGATTGACTATGTCTATTAACCATGGCTCCCATACGTTGGACAAAATTGGCAATACTTCTCGATATAACGACGGCCAATATTCATTTATGAAAGCGACGACAAGCTTGTCTAAAAGTAATATTTTTTATTTATAGTGTTTTTAATATTATACTAATCAAAAACATTATAACATATTATAATATTTTTGATTGGTATAATATTCTTAAAAACTTGAGATCTAGAATTCTATTTATACAAGATGTTTCTTACTTATTTCTGTGATGTCAAATATGTCGTCGAAAAATATTTCTAACTTTTTAAGAGATGGATAAAGTATAAATCTTTCAACAGTCCACGTGTCGTTTGAAACATGACCCATAAGATCATACGTGCCTCTGACATCAAGTATAGTTAAGTTAAACTTTCCTTAGTTTTTTAAAAAAATTTGATAATTAAAATAAGTTTTGTATTTTAAGAGAAACAGACCAAAATGCCATATATTTTATATGTTACTTTATGCGTACACACTTTGCGTAGAATGTATTGTACCTTTGCCTTTTAGTGTGAAAGGTCCTAATCTACCCTCTATACTACTATAACCATCCATATAAAGTTTCGGTATATTGAAGTCAATTTCCACACGGAATACGTCATCGGCCAAATGCGTTCTTACATTGGTTAGTTGATTATTTTTCAAACCTTTTAAGGTTAAATTTGTTATGTTGAGCTCCGCATGTATCACACCGGTATCAAACGTATGTTCGCCGTGTTCGTAGAATAATGGATCCAGAGGTGGAAAGTCAAATTCCGGTAATCCTATCAAGAAAAAACTTTTACTAAAATGAAGTCGCTATTACAGTAGATTAGATCTTTTTAGAGGTTGATTAAATTGTCTAAACGTATTGGTAAGGTAAATATTTTACAACAAGTAAACATATGTGATAGTAAAATATTTCACTATCACATATGTTTACTCATTACACACAAATACATAGTTATGTAATTAAATAAAAAAATATACCTGGCACAAATCGTAGCCATGCTTTCTGTACTGCGTGCAACAGACATGTAGAATAGTCAGTCGAATCGCGCTTACAGGTAGTTACAGCTAAACAAACATAACAAAAATTAACATAAAATAGTACTAGAGAAGAAAATATTGTATACAGATTGAATATCAAGTCCTATACGTGGTAGATATCAGGTTTCGATAAATATTTATTTTAGGGCACACCTCACTGATTTCGGTGCGCTCTAGATATGTTGTAGAGCAGGTCATACTGAGTAATTTATCTTAAAAAAATTGCGTGAGGGACGGCCTTGGTTTCGGAGATATGGCGATTTAAAGTTTCTAAACAAACTACTATTTTGTTCTTTTTGTTCGTGTTGTACGCTTGTAGGCAGGAGAGACTTCGCTATCCGTTCAATTTTTGCTCTAAGAAAAATATATTCTTAACTTATTTAAAAAAAAAGACGCTCTAATTATGAATACTTTAACAATTTAATAAGATCATTTTTGTAATTGTTATATAAAAAAAACCTTGAAAAAGGTGTAATTTTTTTATTATCACAATTGGAAGAGATATTTAAGTGATCTGGTTTAAATAGACTACTCGGTATATGTGTTATAAAAAAAATAATTAAAATATACTTTAGATATGAGAAAGAGGACAAGAGAGTAAACCTGTAGGTATAGTAATATGTTCTGACTTACGTATATCGCTCTTACAGGATCAAAAATTATATGTATATTTAAGATATTTTTATATTATACTTAAGATATTATAAAGAATTATAGTATTACGATACATAGATTTAAAAAAAATCCATCTAAAATCTATATATCTATATCGTGATTCCACTTACGAAGCGTGAGTTTGTTTGCTAATCCAAATCCTGCGATACAGATCACACTTACTGCAGAAAATATCATCTTCCTTGATTGCACTTGTATCTCTAAATGGATGACTATCAAGAATATGAGTTTTATATAGACGAACACAATTTAATAGACGATCAAAGATCGATTTCTACAAAAACAATTCTAGAAAAAACAGATTTCCTAGAGTAGAAAATATATCTCTTTGGTACGGCGCACATTCACTGCGGAGCCTTTTGTCGCATAAAAATTACATTTGGCGTCGTCGAAAGTGATGATAGCACTAAAGAAATTAATAAAAGTAAGATTGATATATAAGTCACTATATAGTCAGCAGCAAGAAAAATTTGCTAAGTTTATTGAAATTTTTTATTTTACCAACAAACTTTTTGGAAAATTACAGAAAACTAATTTTAAACAATTTTTTGCTGGCTATATAATAGCAAAATTATTTTTTTTTTTCTATATACATTGCTGTTTTATATTGTATTTCTAGAAATAGAAAAGTAATTACAATTATATATGTACTATCAAAGATTGTAGCTACATGAGAACAAAAAACAGACAGTAATTAATTAACATAATATTTTGTTACATATTTATACGTTATGGAAATATGATTATGACTGCATAGCTGCATTATTAGTATGTAAGCCAATTGTAATAATGTAATAATTACATAATGTTTTATAATCATTTAGTATTTTGATTTAGTATTTTTTTGTAATTGTACAAGCGTCTTGTTGTTCGAAATAAGATATCTCTTTAGAGTTTTAAAACAAATTTACAAACGTATATGTTTTTTATACAAATATATATTGTTGCGCACTGCCGCGTTTTCGCGAAAAACGAAAAGAGCTAACACACAGTGCGTTACAAAACTCACCTAATTGCAAAATTATCCGGATAAGAGAATAACAACGTCTGGAGCTTCTTTCCGCGCGTCCGTTCCGCTCCGGCCTTCGTTTAGATCTGATCTCTTGAATCTTTGAACAAATGTCACGCAACCGAACGATCGAAAACATTTCTTTCTAATGGGTGTCGACGCGGCACGCATCTCGCAACAATATTTATTTAATCAAACAGATTAAAAATCAATTTAATGATCTATTTAAAAGCAAAGAACTGAAATAAGTACTACATTACTTCAAAAGTGTAATCTCATATGTTTTTTGAGCGTATAGCCAGTTCATCTGAATAAAATCGAAAACTACAATGTATCCAATAACATTTCTTCGTAAATAGAGATATTTTCTACTGTTATAAAAACTCACATACTTCTTATAGACATTGCAAAATTATACGTTGAAAAAATTATATGACAATTAGAAAGACCTTAGGTTGAAATATTCATAATTGGAGCGTCTTGTTTAAATGAATCAAGAATATATTTTTCTTAGAACAAAACTTATAGTCAAGGAGAGATTAATACTTAATGTAACCAAGATACTGAACTAACAAACAAGTACACTTTGATCTGCATATATATCAGGTAAATTACGATAGTTATCACAACGTAATGTATGCGAATACCTGGAACTCATTTGATGTTTTTTTTACATCTGTCGAGTCAGTTTAAATGTTTTTGCTTCACGCGTAGTAAATAATATTTATCGTCACTGATTGCGGACTTTTTCCTCAGAGATATAGACCGGTATTTGATTCGACGCGATGTAATACTTATGTAATACATATATGTACATATAATTTTTCGTATTGTATTATTCTGAGAAAATTCGCAATTTTTCTTTGAAACACTACAGGACAATTAAAAAACGAGATTAAAGTCTGTATGAAAACAATATAGATATGAAGATATGAAGTAAGAGGCCACATGAATTTACCTAGACGCGGTTTCTTACGGTCTGAAAGGATGAGAGGACGTTATTTCCGGGATGAGATAACAATTTTCATATTGTGCTAACGTAGATATTCTTATGTGAATATGTAATTAAGATATGTAAGTTTATATCAGCGATCGCGTGTTTCTATGTCAGACGACTTTAATTTTTACACATAAATTTTGAAAATCGCGTGACGCGTGTTGTACAGAAAACCGTATGAAATAATATGTCTCTTTGAACAAAGAAAGGAAAAACGCTGCAGTGCAAGAACAAGGAACTGTCTTACCATCTAAGAATATTATGGTATTATTAAGAATAATAAATCCCGTAGGATGAGCCGGAATTAATTGCAGGGCCGATTGCAAGCAATTTACGACACTGATTGCAGCCGAGATGAGAACCATCTTGGGAAAACCTTTCGGACGATGGAAGAAAAGGAAAACGGGCGCCGCGGCGCTATCTTCCTTCTCTTCTCGTTGCTCTTCTCTCCTTTGAAGCGCGGATTTGAATCTACGTTTTACGGCGCAATTAATTCCCCAAGGAGAGTTGCATTTCTTGCTCCGCCGGGGCAAGGAAAGGGATTTGCGAACGGCAAGGTTTTCCGGAGTCCCATGGGGAGCTCCGGCGATCAGACGGAGACAGGACGAACGGCGAGGAAAAGAGAAAGAAACAGAAGAAGGAGAGGAGAATCACGCGCAAAAGGAGGAAAAGACTGGCGAGAGGGGACGGCAAACTCGTCGTTTCTACAGAGGCTAAGGGATACACGATGTCTTCGAGTCGGCACTATCGACGACCGCTAAGCATCTCCGATTCATCCCTGTAAACTTCTGTAAAGTTAATGATTTAAGAACGTTCCCTTTACTCCGTGGTAAGATTTATTTTTTCCAGGATTGGAGAAAAGTGACATATGAAAAATACATAAATTTCTCTGTAGCTGAAGACAAGTAACTCTTAAGTTTCATTGTCGTCGTCTCATTGATCGTGAGACAAAATCAGTGAATTTTTCACGAAGGTGGAAATAAATCATCTTTTTTTTTTCTGTCTCGGATTTTTTCGCAAGAGATTTCAAACGAGACTATAATAAGTTTCTAGAGGACCTCGCGCGGAAATCGCAGGTGTCGTCGAACAGGAGGTTAAATCATTCAATCGCGCCATCAAGGCGCACGCGACGCAGTCGCGTCTTTTCTTCTGCGCGACGAGAAACGCCCGAGATGTATGTAATTTGCAATTCAGAACGTTCTGTATCCGGTGCGGATTCGAGTACTCGCCGGAGACCTGTATCACGTAGCGAGATCCCGGACCGGTGCCTTTTGCCGGTGCTCGCATCGGGCGAGGATACAGTGAGAGGATGCACCACCGACGACGCGACGCGCATCGCCAAAGGAACTTCTCGCTCGCGCAAGAAAGAAATGCCGTCGGCGAGGCCGCTTCTTCTTGCCCGCTAGGGAAATCCGATACGAAGTCTATCCATGTATATTTGAGGATCGGCGTCACCGTCGCTCGGCGGAGCATGTTGCGAAGGCAGACAACTATCCCGACCTATTTACAGTTATTCGCCTTGCCCCGTCAGTCTGTTCAAGAAGATTTTGATATGACGTGTACGCACGGTATGTACGCGGAGATGCATACATACTCGTTGCCGTGTAACTTTGAAAACGTTAATTCGAATGCCGGGTCGATCAATGTTTTGAGAAATACACGTAACGATATCGTACCTGTAAATCAGCGTTTTCATCTTTTTGCGGTAAAAAGAAGGAAAGAAACTTTTCATATGTCGAGCATTGCAGTTTCATTTAATGTTGAATTATATGTGAGAAACGTTTCTCTTTGTATGATTTCTGCGTGAAAGAAGAACCGGCGTTAATTCAATTCACGCGACAAACAAAGAATGTTATCCAACAAAATCTTATCGTTTTCAAACTCCTCTCTTCCAATATCATATGGTGAGATAAATCCCTTTCTGTGCGCTCACAGAGTGTACGTCGCGAGAAACGTTGCTTAATTAAAAATGTTATCTGGTGCGATCAGGTAGGCGAGATGTAAGATCCCTTCCAGTAAGAACCCCTTATGTCATTTGTCAAACGTAGGAGTTTCACGGCGAGGTTACGAAATGAAACTAATTAAGAAGATAACGGGAAGATTGTATCTCGAGCTCCCCATTATACATCGTGCTGACGAATTACGTCTCTCTTCGAAACGGCTCCGCATTCGTTACGACCTGACATTTTTTTCCAGACAACTGCACGGAGTAATATTTAATCCTGTGCTTTATAAAGCACAGGATTTCTGTTTCTAAATCTATCCTTCTCAGTCTACTAAAATTATCTCATTCGTGCAGTTTTCACATAATCGTAGTCGCGCTATACAAATGAGAATGCCAACCTTTCGTAACTTCAAAAATGATATTTTTTTAAATGTTATTTCGTAATGTCTTATTTAGAAAATGTAATAATTATATTAAATGTGAGTCAAGAAGCAAAACTTATTAATTCACACAACACGAAGCCGCTAACTGATCGTTATACAGCTGGACATTTGCTTATATAAGTTATAGCGCAGCCTTAATTAACCTCACGTTAAGACGAGGTCTAACCGGGGGATGTTGCCAAAGTCAGATGCACCTGCCTCAAAGTTCCATCTCGAGAAACCACCCCTCGATGGCTCTCCTACGCGCGTCGCGTGCAGCTACGGCAACCCGCGCTCGCGCCAAACTTTCCACCGTGCGGTGTGGCTGTTTACACGAATCCGATTTAATCGAATTCGCCTAATTCACCGGCGCGTCCTCGAAATTCCAAGTCGATCCTGACGAAGCCGACTCCGCCGCCACGGAAGCAGCCGTTTCTCCGTGTCTCCGCTCGGGTCGTCGCCGCAGTTTGCCGAACAACGAAGATTGGCTGGTTCGAGCAAATTCGGCGGGGGTCAAATTTGCATGTTGTAGACTTAGGTCCGAGAAACGCGCTCTAGAGAGACAGCGAACGAGAGAAAGAGCGAGAGAGGACGAAAGCGAGTGAGAAAAGGAAAGGGACGGGTGAGGGGGATGCGTAGTGCGCGAGCACGAACCAGAGCGAAAGGGTACGTTTAACTAAACTATAGCGGTAACGATGGAATAGTTCGAGCTCATAGCTTACCACCAAAGGTGTGTGGTACTTTAGGTGTGCAAGAGGGTTGAGAAGATGAGGGCGAAGCACCAGGCGTGGAGTCCGCGGGAGTGGAAGAGAGAGAGAGAGTGTGTGTGTGTTGTGTGACGAGGAGCATGTCGGGGGCGGGTGGAGGAGACACCTAGTACCAGTTAAGGGAGACTATAATGGGAAACTTGCCGAGACCTCTGCTACGGCAGCAGCCAAGTCCCGTCGTTTCGCACGCGGTAGGTGCGCCCACTACCTACCAGACTCTCGAGCAAGCACCGGGGGTTGCATGTCATACTGCGGTCGTGTTTCCGCAGGTACACGAAGTCGGTTGGTGGTGGTACGTGTGTACGTAGCACGCGCGCTCGCTAGGTGTCGAGGAAAGAGAGTCGAGCAAACTTGAGACCTTATTAATTCATTAGCTTCGTGCTTCTTATTAATACCGCGCGCGAGGAGAAACGAGTATGGTACTAGGGTATCCCACATACTGCGCACTCGACTGCGCCGTATTTCCCGCCGCGCGACACGAAACACGGTCAGTATTATAAAGCCTCGTCAGCAGAATTCAGCCGGCGAAGAGACTTTTCCAATTAGTAACTCGAATGAAATTGGCGAGGAGAAGTTAATCCGAACACGAGTTTAATTTAGTCTCAAACTGAACAACACGTCGATTTAATGCGAATTAATTCGCGATGTAAATATATATGTGGGTCATTAACTGTTTCGAGTTTCGAAATTGCCGAAAACCCAGTAACAGAAAGTTATAAGTACGTACAGGTAACATTTTTGATCAAACTCTTAAATATAAACACTTTTACGACATAGAAAATAAAATATAAGAACAGCGGACGTCTACGTTGCGAAATGTTTCTTTGATATGCAAAATATCAACAAGTTCTCTTCTCGCCTCGCATTTAACGTCGCATTTCAGACTTCCATTAAGCACTTAGAAATAATTGTATTATCGGCTTATTTGAAATGCAAATCGGACGTTATTGAAAAGCCTTTTCGAATTACGTTTTCGTATATCGACGATCC